CTTCCCCCCCCCCCCCATTTTCATGTGTTGCCACAATTAGTTTTGCTTCACAAATGTCGACTCAAGTTCTTTTATAGTCAGTAATACTTTTGTTTCACTACTAAATGCTTTTCTGAAATTAAATTCTCTCTTTGACATCTGATAAATACTTTATCTTTATTTCTGATAGTTTTGACTCACTTCACATAACTAAAGGAAATTTTCTAATGTCAAAGACCTCTTTCTTCTCCACTTGTTATCCTGAATTTAAATAGCTATATTAAACAATTTGAAAAGGATGTTCTAAAAAATTTGTTTTCTGAAATTATTTTTTCATGCCTTCTTATTCATTGTGCAGATCTCACTCATATGTGCGTCAGTATTTTTGTACTGATCAGGTGATTCTCTGAAGTTTAAGGAGCTGATGCAAATGACGTTTTCGACCCTGTTCATTTAAGCTCCATTTTAAATCTGTAGTTTTTGATCTATTCAAGATTTGTTTTAAATATTTGGATCAGTTTTAGTACTTTCAAGTAAAATTGTGTAAACTCTAGCTCAATGGTTGACAAAAAATATTTCAAACTCTTTTGTTCCAATAGTTTTAATAGATCTTGCCCAAGACAGTTAAGTTATGGTTAATTCTCTTTCATTGATTTTGGTAACTATTATTCCAACTAAAATTCTATACTTTGCAAGGGTTTAATACCTGATTACTATTTAGATTTCCTATCTTATTGCTCGAAATTGGTCTATCTTGGTTCATAGCTAATTTTTATGCTTTTGGGAACTGTAAAACATGGGTTGTTTTAGTCTGTGTTTTTCTTTATGATATTGAAATCCAGATCTGAGATCTGCATCTCCAAATCGTTTTCATGTTTAGTTCATCTTCATTCCCTTCACATATGTTACTTCCTTTTTGGAAGCAAGGAGCTATTGTTATTGTAGTGAAGAGGTTTCTGATTTTAAATGTTTGTTAGACTGTTCTTTGATCCACAAATGTCAATTTTCATTTGGCTTTTTATAGTTTCTTAACTACTGAGCCAGCTGAGGTCTGGAGCTGATATTGTTCATGCTATGGAGTGTGCATATGGTAGTTAACGTTAATCAGGTTGCTCGGTTGGAATTAAGAACTACTATTTTGCAGGTTGTCTCCACTGTAAGGTAAATTCTTGTATTTTGCTTAGTTAAGCCTGGAATTCATTTTGCAGTGCTAAGGGCTGAGGAATTGGAACAATTTGACCTGAAAAAACATTTATTGTGTACTTATTATACTTTGTATAGGATGCTTGTGAGGGGATTATATGTTAACTTCATTGTAAGATTTTCTTTCTACTGAATTTGAGAATTGGCTTTTGGTGGTCACCCTGACATAGATTGTTTATCTAATGAGTTTGTTGAGTTCAATATTTTCTTTATAACCTACAACCTATGATTATCTTGGAATAGAATGTAACTGTAGGTAGTTCAGTATCTTGTCGGCTTGCAGTTTGTAAAAGCTACTCGTGAAATAAGGTCGTTTTTGTGAAGGAATAATGGTTTGCATGACTAATTTGTTTCCATTTCCCTTTTGTATTGATCAGGTTATATTGACCCTTTCAGAACCCACAATTTTCATGTTACATCATCTAGGATCTTGTTTCCATTTCCGTTTTGTATTAGTCTACAACCTTTTATATTGATCTGTTATATTGACACCTTTTGCATTTTCTGATTCAATCACTGTTTTAGAATTGAGGATTGCTTTGAGCATGGTTATATTGCATATCAGCTTAAACCTCATTCGAGTCACTTTTGACGTTCAAATGCATTCGTCGTTGCTAACATATTTCTGATGTCTTGGATCTGACTGTTTCAGCATTTGCTGGTGAATAGATATTCCTTTTTTGAAGTTCACGTCTCATGGGTGTAGGAATAGAACAAGTCAAGAACTGACATTCACCTGAATTGGCTTATAATACAGTGGAGACGTGTTGTTGTACTAGAACTGGGTAGAGTGTCATGATGTAAGTAGTGGAGGTTTCTCCAGCTTCAGATTCTTAGTTCTTTTCCTTCATAATATTTAGATTGATCCTAACCCTTAAATTGAGAGTTACTTTGTGAATGATGGCTTAGAAGAAGGTTTTGGAAAGAACCTATTTTTGGTACCATTTCTATTCCATTTAAAAGACTTTTTTTGAGAACTTCTTAGGTTACCACTGGAACTATTGGGTGTTAGGACACTTTATGTGATCTTATACACATGCGTGATTCCCTTAACCTACTACTTCATTATCTTAAACATGATTTTTTTACTTTTAGAATAAGATCATGGGTGATTCTACTAGTCTCCAAAGAGCACATATAAAAATCATAGCCAGTTCTAAAATGTCATCCGAGCTTTCGGCAACTGAGTTGAGTTCACGATTAGGGTTAGTTGGTGAACTCTTAAAACTCCTAATCATCCTTGTATAATAGTATTGAGCATCTCATAGATGAATTTATCATCCTAAGGTACATACTATAGTGGCCTAAACATGGATATATAGTTATGTTTTTAGTTATGTTTTTATTTTCATTCAGTTTAGAGATTGTTTTGCCTTCAGAAAAACCAAGCATCTTAACAACATGCTTATTATTAGTCAAATGAGTTAATAACGTGCATTCAAACATACTGCAAGCATAACTTAACCTAAAGTCATGAGGTGCAATCTCATTGGTTTAGTCAACATTTGGATAATTTTCTGAGTCCTTGAAATACTTATTGTCTAAACTCCTCAAATCAATCCGAAATTAAAAGAAAAGGTGAGCCTCAAAGCGCGTTAAAAAATGGTCAAACCAATCAAAATGAGAAAAATTTATTTGGTTGGACTACATCGGTGTGTCCAGTCAAACCGAGTTAGATCGATCGAGTTAGATCGATCCACTTGGACCGATCGTCCCTTATCTCCAAACAATGGGTTTTTCTCTCGCACTTAGCCGTTCTCTTTCACTCATTGAATTCTTGTTCTCTTTCACTCGTTGAATTCTTGCACCTGACACTCTCTATTGTCCAATCTTCTAATATTCTTCAAGTTAAAGGCAATTTTATAAGAATTATAAAAAATTATAGAGGAACGAGGAAGATATGAGCATTTGAATCTTATTAATAATAATAATGAAAAAAAAAAAAAAAACTCATGAATCATACCTTCACGTCCCCTCTAGAATTATTAAGGAAAGTTAAAGAGCTTCTCCCCACAAATGTATAGAAACGAGAATTTGGACACAACTGTTAAGAAAGGATGATACATATGGTTGCATCAACACGCGAACCAAACCACGATTCACCTCAAAAACTCATCGTGGTTCTCCCACCAAAACTCTTCCAAGGTCCTCAAGCATGAGGTCAGACCAACCTAATCCTCAACGCTCTAAGGAAGAGATGAGTGTTTCCCCCCTTTGACACAATTCCCTCTTCTCCGCGCGCGTTCCCTCTCTTATTATATGTTATGACCTTAAGAATTGTACCACGTCGTGATATACCAATTTCATTTTGTGTTCTATATTATTTTATTTACTATCAATTCACCTAATTTATTTTATTTTATTTTTAAATTTTAAATACCAACATACATATAATAGTTTTTCTTTGTTTGTGGTTAACATTTTGTTGAAATTAAATATTGGTCATCTCTCTCAAATGTACGGAACGTAGGTCCATACAGCTTTCGGTGTGTTTTTCAGTTCATTACTCTCTCAGTTTTCATTTTAGATTACCGCTCTCTCGCTCTCTCTCTCTCTCTCTCGGTTGTTTTCTTCAATCATTCAAACAAATTCCCCAAGGTTTTGAGATCAATCTCATGGAGGATCGCAAGGAGGTAATTCTTGAACTCATGCTTATGATTTCACTCATTTTTGGTTTCTCTGTTGCGCGAAAAGATTGTGGAAGTGAACGACGATGATGTTGATCTCTTCTCCTTCATTTTGAGTGTGCAGATTAAGAAAATCTTAGAGGATTTGATGAATTCAGTTTATGAGTAGAAGGATTTTGTTGTCACTTAATTGCACAGTTCACTCCGCTCTTACTTATTTAGAACACATTGGAGATTCTTTATTATACTCATTTTGATGCACTTTCTTGGAAAGGAAACAGAGCATATTCCTTGATTTTGTACCATACGAAAACATCGGCTTCCATAGAATGATTGAGCTCTTGGTAAAGTTTATTGTGTTTTCTGTTTTTAATTCAAATTTCTAAGATTCGATATTGAATATTATTACCTTTTCCCCAAATACATTATTGAAGCTCTGCAGTTTCTGCTGCTTCAGATTTCTCTACTTCAAATTTCAATTACTTTCTCCTCCAGCGAAATTTGTGTGCTTTCGTGCTCAGAATCTTTCCTCTCTGAACTTTCCCCTTCCGTTTCTTCATGATTTGTTTGATTCATTTCTGATGTTACTCCGCTCTCACACATCAAAATCGACGAATTCTGGAGTCCATCTAAGACTTGAATAATTAGTTATTGAAAGCAATTTCAGTATGTTTAATGGATAGGAAGGAGTCTCTGGATACAAAAATGAAATAAAAGCTTGTTTGCCTGAGCTTTCGATCCTAAGAACTGCTCGATTTTGGCGCAGATAAGAGAGAAAGTAGGGCAAGTCGAAGCAATAGTCCGTCCAATCACATGAAATCAAACTGATAACAAACTAGTGGGTTACATTATTGATAGTGGGCCTGTACCGAAACGCGTAAACATATCACTAACTAGTTACCTCCATACTTCACTATTGTGTCAGAATTTAACCTTAAAACTCCAGTCTTATTAAATTGAGCTATGAAATTGAATATCCCCTTAATGTAAAATTTTCTACAAGTTGAAGAACACCATTTATAAGTAGATTTATGGCATGTTGGAAATCGCTTTATTGAGGTTAGATTTGGCATTGTTTTGGCTGTTTGGTTCTGGATTGTCTTGTAGCAAAGTGCAATAGTTTTGATATTATGAATTTGATATTGGATGGGTTTTGTTTGGTACGATTTTGAGTGGTTTAAATTTGGATGCAGAAAGTGGCTCCATGGCTGAGTGTTCCACAATTTGGAGATTGGGAGCAAAAGAGAGAGGTGCCTGATTATTCGGTTGATTTCTCAAAAATAAGGGAAAATAGGAAACAGCACAAAAGGGATTTGTCAAGGGCAAGCATTGGCAATGAAGAGCAACTGATGGCCTCATCAGCCACCACCACCACCACCACCACCACCACCACAGACGCATCTCATTTTCATGCTCATGAGAATCACCAATTGAATCATTCAAACACCAACTCCCCAACGGTAAGATTCCTTCGCTCATTACTTGCTTTTTTTCCCCTTCTTTTGCAGCTTTCTACTTTAAGCATCTCCTTTTTCCTCGTGATAGCGCATACTCCGCCCCCTCAATAATTTATTCAATATGCTACTGTTGGAAAAAATAAAGCTCAATCCCTAATGTCACTTGATCTAAAAAGCCTTTTTTTCTTTTTTCTTTTTTTTAATAAAGATTACCACCCTTCCCAAGGCTTAGTAGCTGTTAAATTCCCATTAAATGAATTTAAAAAATAATTTCTTTTAAAAGTCAACTGAGATGGAAAATAGAACCTACCTTTTGATTAAGTAGTTGTGCTATAATTAAGTTAGTTTAATTATGCTTAATTGTTGTAGATTAACTGTGGGTGTGGGATTATTAGTTGTTTAATTGTGTGTAGTTTAATTATGTTTAATTGTGGGTTTTTAACTGTGTCTTAATAAGTTTAATTATGTGTGCTATACCGCTTTTATTATTGGCATGAAGAAAAGTAAGAAAGTAAGAATCTCTCAAAATCTACCAATTTTAACAAATTAGTGTACAACCATTGAATGAATATTCTCATACATACCAATACTAATAAAAACCCAACGGTGATATTGTCTTGTTATGAAGCCTCTATTGATCTAGTTTTTTCCTCTTTTTTTTTTTTTTTTTTTTTTTTTTTTTTTTTTTTTTTTTTTTTTTTTTTTTTTTTTTTTTTCAAGGAAGAATGCAGAAAATCCTCCGAGCTAGTATTATTGCCTTTTATGAAGTTGGCTTCCTCTTTTTCCTCTACATTTGTTGACACTCCACATATAAATGCATGTGAGAGTGTAAGTTAAAACAAAACAATTTGTTAATCAACTAATAATAAAACAGATTAAAATAATTTCATTAGAAAATTTAATAGAAATCTTCTTTTAATAATCATAATTAATCACACAATTAATTTAAACAGTTGGTAACATCTTATTCAAACAATGTTAAATCATGAAGTCTCGAACCTCCTCCATCTTGGCAAAACCCCCTAGTTGGTTGGTACAGTATGATGTAGTACTCATGATAGGTTGACATAAGTTAGGAAATGTTCGACTAACGAGTGAAGAAGAAGTTGAGCCCCATAGTGTTCATGTTAGGAATCTTGAACCACGAAGGTAGGATATTGTCTACTTTAAGCATAAGTCCTCATCACTTTGCTTTGAGCTTCTTTAAGAGGCCTAGTATCAATAGAGATGTATTCCTTACTTATTAATCAATGACCATTTCCTAAATTAGTCAACGTGGGACTCCCCTCCCAACAATCCTCAACATTGTCGAGTGATTTTGCATCCTTTTCTAACTGCAACTTTGTATTTCTACCTTTACATTTATTATACAACTTGTGGATACTAATAGTTGAATACATAGAATGCATGTGATTTGGTTTGCAGACAACATATGGTTGAACTGTTTGTGTGAAAGCATGTCCACAAACTTGTTTATGTCTTACAACTTTTGTTTTATGGTTTTTCGTATCAGACAAGGAAGAGCATACTAAGCTACTTCAACTGTTGTGTGAAAGCATGATCACAACCTCAAAGTTCACCAATCTTGACTAATGCTGTGTTGGTTTCTCTCAGGTTTTTTTGTTTTCACATTTGGTTTGTGAGTTACTATATGAACAAGGAACTCCTTTAATTGAAGCTAGATAGATATATAATTCTTCTTTATTTCTTGCTCCTAACCTACTTTTCACTGGAAAAAATAGGAGAAAAAAAAAGAAGAAAATGTTGAACTTTTTCTTGTGGGTATGTAATATGCATTCTTAATAGAATGTAATTATAAATATATTAATTTTTTTGCAATGAATTGCATATGAATATATTTATTTAAAAAAGAAACTGTTAATTAATTTGATGATGTTTTTATTTTCTAATTTCTTATTAGTAGACATTGATTTATATAATCTAATTTAATGAGATACTCGTGAGGATTTATTTAGTATGCTCTAGCCTTTTGGTTCTAGACAGAAACTACATAAAACCATGATACAAATAAAAAAAAAAAAAAAAAAACAATTCCCGGCTTAGATATAGTAGTCTCCCTGGGGTACACCCTATTATCGGTCTCTTGGTCCCGGATTGTTAAGAACGAGGCTTTGATACTATGTTAAGAATTAGAAATAGGTGGAATTGAAAGTCCTATTTTCATTAATGTTCATTACCAACTAACTCCTAAAAATAAGAGAAAATATATTACTAACCAAATATTGAAGTTAGGACAAAATATACTATCTAATGTTTTAAGTTTGTTTGAGATTCAATTTTATCGACCAGCAGTGGTTCATAAATAATAGTTTGGGTTCTAAAGCGTGCATAATTCTATTATAAAACTCATGCTCAGGGTCTATCTCCTGTCTCGTTCTAAATGGTTCCAAATCTCGCTCTCATGTTCTAGAGCAATAAAAATTAGGAATGATATCAAAATCAGATAAATACAAATAAATAGAAGCTAAATAGAGCATATCAACCTACCATATGTGTTGTGTCAAGATTATGCTTGTTCAGGGCGTGTTGTCCATACTTGCATGTCAAAACTCTTGTCTTGTATCAACTTATTGCTTTCCTTTACTGATTTCATGATGTATAGTTTCCTTATTGTATTTTTTAAGTGCATGACATTTGAGCAGAATCATGTCTACGCTTGGTAGACAGCAGAATCATGTCTACGCTTGGTAGACTTGAAATGCCTCAAAATGTACTATAGGGGGATGCGATCAGCCGTCAACTCCTTCCACCTAGATTTTGTATGAATGATCGGCGAAATTAGGTTTAGACCTGCCAGACTTGAATTACATCAAAATGTACTATAGGGGATGCGACTAGTTGTCAATTCTTTATACTTTTTCTTTGCTTATAACCTATAACGACTTTCAAACATTCTTTCAAATCTTGCTTTCAAACTCTTTTTCTAAAATATCTCTTTGTCCCGTTTTCTAATACTTTCTCCTCAGAGTGGGGTCGGAGGTTTGGGTATCGTCGTTATGAATTCTCTTGGATACGGAGTGATTGAACGTCCACTTTGAGTCAGTTAGTGTGAACTCTTACTGTTTGTGGAGTCGAGCTGCCTCTCGTTAATATTCTACCCAAAAGGCATCCTTAAATTTCAATCATGAAATTGCACCTCCCTTAGGATTAAGAATCTTGTGAGTGGACTCCCACCGTAACTCTATATTGTCTTGCAACATAAACAATGCACATGGCTTCTAATCATCTAGGAAATTAGTCAACCTAAACATTGTCTCTATTGAGGTCAACCACATATGTGCTACTGTCGGATCCAACACGATTCCATTAAAGGTACAAGGGTCATATCTTCTAAAGTCTCACGTTTCTTGCCTCCCTGGTTGATGATGAAACGTTAGTTTGTTGGGTCGTTATAATTGTTTGCATAACCACCTGGAATGATTCTCACATTAGAGCAGTGTATGATCTGGTGCGGCATGAGGCTTCACTAGCGGTGGAGGTGGCACTACATTATCAAGTCGATTTACCGATCTCTCCCGGATTAGACTTCTTCTACCCCTGACAGGGGGTGGTCCTTTACGCCCTCTTCCTCGACCTCTAAGTAATATAATCTATATTCAACATATATCGTACTAAGTCTATATCTTAACATTTATTATATACCCCTCATTTCAACCTACAAACATAACAAACCTAGCATGCCAAACTTTGCATTATTTTAATCGATCAACAACATACATCATCTAATAAAATCCGTTATTATCTTTAAAAAGCATACCTTACATTAATGGTATGTTTGTTGAAGGACCATGAAAGTATGTTGGGCCAAGATAGCAGATCGGTCAACATAATCTAAAAACGTAGGGCTCTAATATCATCGGTAAAACCCCTAGTTTTCTAGATCAGAGACGCACTACATACATGTCTTTAATAACATATGTAGAAATTTAATAAAACCTTCCAACGAAGACACAAACTTATATATATAATTTCAAAACAAAAAATAACAACATCGTGAAAAACAAAACATTAACATAGTTTTGGTACGAAAGTGGAAAACCATCTATGAAATTACTATTAAAAACTATTAAAAAAACAATGCATACTACTGTTCTATCTTAGTTTCTATGGTCATTCTAGTATCCACCATCATCCGTACAGGGGTGTACTTTACCTGAGTTTGGATTGGACGTGTATGTGGGAGGTAATTGGGTTTGTCTTTTCTACCCGGTAGGTGAGGTTGGCTGAAACCCTTGGTTTTCTTCCCTTTTTTTTCTTCTATAAATCTACCGCCACTCTCCCGAGACCTTTAGTGTCCATGGTCATTCTAGTATTTTTTTTTTTTTCGTTCACCTACCTCGTCCTAGCACACTGGAGACCTATACCATTTTTCATATAAAACTTCGAATGGTGCTATTTTGATAGTAGCTTGAAAATTATTGTTGTAGGTGATGCTGCATACTCTTTCAATGTCTTGGGTTGATCTACGATAAAATTCATAGCTATATTCTCTCATTTCCATTTCAGCATGCTTAGGGATTGCAATAGTCCTGTTGTTCTTTGTTTTGATGCTTTCACTTGCCTGTATACAAGACATTTACTTACAAACTCTGCTATGTCCTCCTTCATGTTGCGCTACCAAAAATACGGTTTAAGATCCTAGTACATTTGTGTTGCCTGGATGCATGGAGAACAAGGGGTTATAGGCCTCCGTTAGTATCTCTTGTTTCGATTTTTCAACCGCTGACACACACAATCACCATTGACATAATCCTTGACCAATTCTAGCCACCTTCCGTATCTCATGTTCAACTCTATATGGATGAAGAAGTACTTCAAACTCTTTTGGTCGGTACATATCCAAGTCTTGTCTCTACATAAGTAGTGCCACAAAATCGTGCAAAAACTATCGCAGCTAATTCCAAGTCATTAGTGAGGTAATTTAGCTTGTAATCCTTCAACTCATAGGTTGCATAGGCCACCTTCCCATGCCGCATCAATACACACCCCAACTCTTTTTTTGGAGGCGTCATTATAAATTACATAACCTCATGAACCCTCTAAAACAAATTACATAACCTCATGAACCCTCTGAAACGTGAGCACTAGACGACACTAAGTTGTGTTTCAAATCTTGGAAACTCGCTTCATGCTTCAATCCACACAAACAAGACACCCTTCATGGTGAACAATTTCAAAACCTCGATAGGATCTATGACAAGTTAGAGAATTGCTCACCAAATGCTATACATGGTTTTAACACATTCTCCAACATGAGCGGTCAATATAGTTGTTGACCAGTCAGTGTATAGTGCCTCCTTGGTTGTGTATGAAAATATATAATATAATATTAAAATTATTGATTTCTGGCCTTGGACAACCAGGAAACAATATTGATGTCTACTTCTACCTTAAAATTACCATTGCATTAAATGAAAAAAAAAAAGAAAAAAAAAAAGAGAGTAAGGATTGGGGAGGAGATATTTCCACGTGGCCGCCAAATGGACTGGATGCCAGGCTGGCTGATAACACTGCAAAATTCAAATAAATACTCTTGACCCACCTTTTTTTAGAAATAATTAAATAACAAGCTCAACATTTATTTATTATTTATTATTATTAATTCAGACCATGTGCCTATGTGTAGTTGGTAGTGTTGCCAATGTGGAAATATTCACAATTTTTAACTAATTTTAATTTTAAAAAATATTAGAAATTTAGATATTAAAAATTTCTTGAGTTATTTTTAAATATATTATTAAAAATTTTAACTTAATTTCTATATATATTTTGAAAAAATTATTTTTAAGAGTTATGATAGAATAAATAATAAAAATAATTATAAATATATATATATATATATATAGTTTGAAGGGACATGAAATATACATTTTAAGAATTGTTAAATAACTAAAAAAACATTTAAAAACAAAATTATAACTTTTAAATAATTACTAAATTAGTTATAATTACTAAATTGCGTGGGTGAATGAAGTATACTAGATTGATAGCGCTCATGCAAAATAGATTGGAAAAAGTATCTCGTGCTCATGATATACAACATGCATGAAGTCCTGTAATTTAACATCATAGTACTTGATTATGATGCACATCATATTTTTTACTTTGAGGGTAAGCTCTCATGGCTTTGTGTTTTGTTTTGGATTTCCCAAAAAGTCTCGTACCAGTGAAGATAGTATTTCTTGATTATGAACTCATGATCTTCCACTAAATTAACCAATGTGAGATTCACTCACAATAATCTTCAACTATTGGTTCCCCATACGTTAAATGAACGAAAAAGTAGCCTTGCTCGCCGAAGAACTATTGATCTAAATAATTGTTAAATAATTGTGCGAAGATGTTGAAAAGTAGGGGGGCTATGAAGAAGCTTCTCCATTACCATTTTTGGAGGAACATGAACATTATTGCAAACCTATTACCCAAACATATCCACTTTGGTCATTGTCCCTCTTTATTTCGTGTCATTTCTCTACACATGACCCACGTATGCGCACAGGGACCCACCCGGCTAGCATATACGTACCCTTTAGACCTATCCTTTAACTAGTGCACACTCATACTATCGGAGCCTCTGAGGGAAAGAAGCCCGCATAGTATTGTAGTGTACACAATACCGTATCATAGCATCATGACGAAAATAAATGTTGTAAGGTACGCATCCATATTAATCATGATGGAAAAAGATCGTGATGCATATGACAAACAAAGATGTATAAGGTCTTTGTAGG